ATTCTGTTGGAATACAAGTGTGGAACAGCAGAACAGCACTGAGAGCTCAGAGCTGGGGCTGAGGCATCGCTGGGAGAGCACAAAGGAAAAGCTGGGAAATGCAGCAGAGCTGGAAGAAAAGCTGGGAATTGATTTCTTGTCCTGGCCACGGCAGCACCTCTCAGCACTGTCTGTTGGCTGACACGTATTCCCAAGAATGTTGGGAATGTTGGCTGCTGCTCTTCATCCTGAGAGGCTCTGCAATAATTTGTGCCCTTGGGTTTGCTGGGGAAGGAGATAAATGGATTTGAAAGACAAATGATATTCCTGAAAATATTTTCCCCTCCAGTGAGCTGGTGTGGGAATGAGACAGAATCTGTGGCTGATTTTCCCAGGATTCTGCTGATCTGTTTTTCCATGGTGATAGTGGGTACAGAATTCCTCCTTGGAAAGCTGCTGGGAAAGGCAAGACCATGGGGCAGGAGGTGGAAATTTCCCTTGGGGCATTGCCATGGGATTGTCTGGGATGGGGATGGGAATGCAGATGGATCTGGGTCTGGAGGTGTGGATGCAGAAGGGGATGAGGATGCACATGGGGCAGGGAATGGGGATTGGGATGTGGATGTAGAATGGGATGGGAATTTGAATGGGAATTTGGATGGGGATGAGGATTTGAATGAGAATTGGAATGGGAATGGGAATGCAGATGGATCTGGGTCTGGAGATGTGGATGCAGAAGGGGATTAGGGTGTGGATGGGAATTCTGACAGGGAAGGGAATGCAGATGTGGATATGGAAATAGATGGGAATTGGGATGGGGATGGGAATGTGGGTGGGTCTGGAGATGTGGATGCAGAAGGGGATGAGGGTGTGGATGCAGATGTGGATGCAGATGTGGAACCCCACGTTCAATCCCTAAGGAGGTCCCAGCTGGAGTCAGGGCTGGGGCACAGAAGGGAAGCTCTGGGATTGCTGATGGAGCTGCTCCCGAGCAGCTGCAGAGCAAAGGGCACAGCTGGAGCAGGAGCTCACTCAAATCGCCATTTCTCTCACAATCGCAGGCTTCTCCTGAACCTTTAGGAACGGGATTGCTTCCACTCCACTCCATAAACAGGAGCACCTGGGCTCGGGGGGGAAATTCACTGGGAAGTACAAAACGTGACCTGGGTGAGGCTGTGGGGTGGCTCTAGATGTGCTCCTGCAGATGTGAGGCCTCCCTGGCAGTGCTAAAACCCCTGGATTCACATTTTCCTCCCAGGAGATGAAGCGGGAAGCAGAGTTTTGTCCTATGGTCAGCAGCAAAGCCAGCACTGATTCCAGCAGCAGTAGCAGGAAGTGGGATAAACTGGAATTTTCCTGGCTCTGTGTCACGTTCCATCCACTCCCCCTCGCTGCAGCCCCGCTGTTGTTTTTCCTGTGCCTTCCCCAGTTCCTTTCCTTCCCTCCTGGCTCCCGGTGAGGCAGGCAGGGGATGTGTGTGCAGAGGTGGATGGAGCTTCCTGAAATCCAAATGTCACATTTCCACCTGGCTGCCTGAGGAGCGAATGGCAGCGTAGTTCTATTTACAGATTTCTACAGAGAGTGGTTAAAAATAATAGTAATAATAATAATAATGATAATAAAGACCAGGATTTCTTCTGCAAGCCTCCAGCAATCCATGAGCATCATCTCCCTCTGATTGCCAGGGGTCACCAGGGTGGCCAGCTCTGGTGCTTGAGGGGATTTTTCTCCACGGTGGGAGGAGGAGGAAGGGCAGTGTTGTGCCTCTTAGTCATGGCTTTGATTTCCTGGTAAATTTTTGGAGCTGGATGCCAGCCTGGCAGCCATGGATGTGGGAGCAGATTGCCTTTGAGGAGGAATAAATGTGTTTTGTAAGAATTGCTGCTCGCTGATGGGTTGGAATGGGCTGATGAGGGGCTGGCTCGGTGTGTGTTCATGGATATGAGGGAAATATGGAATAACTTGGGAATACTCCAGGATCTGACAAGTCCCAGTTGCCATTCCAGCTCTCAGGTAGCCCTGATGTCCCTTTGGCAGCAGCACTTTCACAAAGGGGCTGTAAATGTAGGTGGGAATTCCTCAGTTCTGCCCTTTCTGCTGATGCCGGCTCCTTTCCCATTGGGAATGACGATGTAAGAGTTGTAGAATCCCAAAATCACGGAATCTTTACAGCTGGAAAAGACCTTTAGGGCCATCAAGTCCAGCTATCAGGCAGGGCCACTGCCCCACGTCCCCAAGTGCCACATGCACGGGGCTTTGAAATCCCTCCAGGGATGGGGACTCCACCCTTTCCATGAAGGAATTTCCCCCTGATATCCAACTAAACCTCCTCTGGTGCATCATTTCCTCCAAACAAGGGCGGGCCAATGCTTTATTGATTTTTAAATTTTTTTAAAATACATTTAAAAATGTAAAATCCATTTCGTGGAATTGCTCAAGGATTTCTGTGCATTCCCCGATTTCCTGGGACCGGTGGGAGCTTCTCCTCCCTTCTCCCTGCAGGGATGACGTGCCAAGCCAGGACATCCTACACGGAGGACGAGGTGCTCTGGGGCCACCGCTTCTTCCCGGTGATCTCCTTGGAGGAAGGGTTCTTCAAAGTGGATTATTCCCAGTTCCACGCCACCTTCGAGGTGCCCACGCCGCCCTACAGCGTGAAGGAGCAGGAGGAGATGCTGCTCATGTCCTCGCCCCTCATCCCGCCCGCCGTCAGCAACAGCAAGGAGAGGAACAGCTCCGTGGAGTGCCTGGATGGGCTCGACGAGGTGGGCACAAAGCTGCCCTCAAAACTGCAGAAAATCACCGGCAGGGACGACTTCCCCAAAAAACTGCTCAGGATGAGCTCCACCACGTCGGAGAAGGCTTACAGCATGGGCGACCTGCCCATGAAACTGCAGCGCATCAGCTCGGTGCCCGGCAACTCCGACGAGAAGCTGGGCTCGAAGACCACCAAGATGATGTCGGATCCCATGAGCCAGTCGGTGGCCGAGCTGCCCCCCAAGCTGCAGAAGCTGTCGGGGGGAGGCGGCAGGATGGAGGGGAACCTGCCGCCCAAACTGCGCAAAATGAATTCCGACCGCTTCACGTAATCCCGCGGGGGCCAGCGGGGGCTGCCGGGGGGGCTCGGGGGCCACCCAGGAGCCGGGGTGGGCTGGAGGGAGCCGGGGTGGGCTCGGTGCTGCAGGAGGATCCCGCGGGATTGGCATGTCCGACCCCAGCGCATGCAATAACCGTGTGCAACCTCGTCCATGGCATGACTCCTCCCGTGTTTCTGCTCTGTATCCCCCAAAAACACGCAGAGGGGCCTTCCTTCCTTCCCCTGTACCCCCCCAGGGAATAGGGACAACACCGAGTGGGGAACTTCCAGGGTAAGTTGGAGTTGAAAGCGTTTGGGGTTTTTTTTGGGGTTTTTTTTTGGTTTTTTTGGGTCGTGATTTGCTCGCCCAAATTGTTTGCTGCATGTGGTTTGGTTTTTTTTTTTCCCTCCAAGGAAGTGTTTTATTTCACCCCTCACACCAAATCTGCTCGCCTTAAATCCACTGCTGGTTTCTGGTTTCTTTTTGTTGTTTTTTTTTTTTTTTTTTTTTTTTTTTTTTTTTGGGGGGGGGGGCGGTGTTCCCTGTGTCAAAGCCACTGGAAAAAAAAAAAAATCTGTATTTTATCAGGCTTTGTTTAGAGAAGAAACTCGTGTTCTTAAGCCTGGGGCAAAGTGATAAATAAATGACTCAAGTTCACACTTTAGGTACAATTAGTAACATTTTTATAAAATCATTGTGACTTTTATGTGGAAGAAAATCAGCAGGGCGTGCTTGATTTCTGCTGCTGCTCAAACAGCCGAATGTGACAGGAGCTGAATGTGCCCGTGGTGCCAAGCAGGCTCTCCTGGTGGACGAGCTGCACCCCAAAAGCTGAGCAGCCCCCATCGCCCCGATCCCTCCGGGCCTGGATTTTTCTCCAGGCAGGGCAGGGTGGTCCCAAGCCTCGTTCCTCGGTGTTTTTTGTGGTGAAAATCCTTGCCCTTGTTGTGAGCTGGAGGTGACCCGGGGCTTTCAGAACGAGCCAAACCTTGGGTGAACGCTGGAATGTTGGGGTCGATTCCTCTCTGGTGGTTTTTGGGTTTCCTTTGCCCACCCGGTTTGGGGTGGAGCCGGGGTGGGCTCTGTGGTGATGGAGCACCTCCCCAAAATCCAGAGGGCTGAGGTGCCCAGGGACCCCCTGGGCTGCGTTTGGGGCCTTCCAGAGGCTCCTTGGAGGAGCTTTGGGATGGAGGGAGCCACGGGTGGCACCGTCAGGGCTTGGAAAGGAACCCCAGAATCCGCAGGGCTCCCTGTGCCATCCCCTGGGTGAAAGCCCTGGCATCACATCCAGCTGTTCCCAGCTGTTTTGGGAGAGGAACAGCCAGGGATGGGCGGCTCCGTGCCAGCGTTAGTTAATAACAGAGCTGATGGGTTTGGAGGGAAAAATGGGGCTTTTTATTGATGCTGGCATGGAACAAGGAGTGGGAAGCCCAGCAGTGCTGGAGCTGGCCCAGCCCCCGTGTCCCTGCAGGTCCCACGTGTCACTGTCACTGATTCCCAGCACCTCGGGCAATTCCAGAGCTCCTTCCCATGGCTTGTCCTGATCTTATTCCATTCTAATTCTATTATTTTCCTT